AAGTGTCATTAGAAGACCAAGAAAAGAGGGTCTAGCAAGATGACCACTCACAAATAATGGGTGGGCACACTCCAGTTGCTGAAGTTCCTGGCGTCTTGTGCTTCTAGCCACTGGAATTATGACAAATAAATCTCTCTTGTTTAAGCCACTCAACATATCATATTTTTCAGCAACCTGAGATGATTAAATTGTGGACAATGTATGGAGTTATGGAATACTGAATGAAAACCACATGTCTTGATTCACAGGGTATAATTATGCCATTTTATTTAGTGTAATCACTTCAAATAATGTGCTTCTTATTTTATTTACTTGAAAGGAAGAGGGAGGGAGAGAGAGAGAAAGAGAGAGAGAGATTCCTACTGTCGTATCTTTGCTGGTTCACTACTCAAATGACTGTGATGCTTGAGACCAAGTCAGGCAAAAACTAGGAACCAGAAACTCACTCTGGTTCTACCTCATGAATTACATCGATTGCACTACTCACCATCACCCGCTTCTTCCAAGATTGTACATTAGAGCGAGACTAGAATTGGGCTCACACACCCTGATATGGGATATGGGCATCCTAAGCAGCCTCTTAACTGCTCTATTTTTCCTCCTGCTACTATCTCTGGCTTGTAGAAATATGTAAACTGTGGCTTCCCCACAAACCTTTTGAGTTCTTTGTTAAGCCGTCTCTCCATGTAGAGCAAGCACATATGCCTCTTGGAAATTGCAAGCCCACTCTGAAATGTTTGTTCCTAGTTCCAGTTGGACTGTCTTTTGAATGTAGAATTATTTAAAAATCAGAAAACTGTTTTCCTGGAAGTAGGAGAAACATATAAGAATATGGATGTTGGCAATGTTAACTGCAATACAAGATCCAACCCATGCTGGATACAGGGTCCTTTCAGATCCTGTCCCCATTGTAAACATAATGGTTGCACGGTCTGAGAAAGACATCTATCTTCAATTAAAGGTAGAAAAAACTAATTTTTTTTTGTATGAAGTAGGCAGTAGGAGCTTCTTCCAAATTTGATTTCTGACATACATTGAAAAGCCTATTAATTACATGATCAATAACTTTTCAAGGAAAGCTTAGAAGGGCAATCACATTTCTTGTGGGATATAGTGAAAGATAATGGAAAACCTAGGCATGATGCATCAAGATTCTAATCAATAGCCACTAGATTTTATCTGTGTCAAATTTAATAACATTTGGCATCTGTGCCAAAACAGCACAAAGCCAGTTATGTGCACCCTCCAGCTGCTTCCCAGAACCCGAAATTTCACAGAGGTTCATCTGTAAAGAATACACAGAAAGGAGCCAGTGAATGGGTTCAACAACCCAACTCATAAAAACTTGCAAACAAACAGATTTCCGTATTGGCAAGTCAAGTCTCAAATGTTGCTTACAGCTGGGCAAATTTGACCTTCCCAAGTGTTTGTTCTTCTTTGTCACCCATTTTAAAAACAAGAGACTTAACCCGAGTTAACCCGGAAGAAAGTTGGACATGACAGATTAAGAGACATGTCTGTGTAATCAGACTGCCTCAGTTTGCATCCTTTTCTGCTACTTACTGCCTGCATGACCTTGGGGAAGTCGCTTAGACTCTAACATCCTTTGCTTCACCATCTATAAAATGGGGAATGATAAATGCTGTCTCTACCTTGTAGAGTATGGTGAGGACCAAGTACATTAATCTATCTACAGCTCTCAGCACAGTGCCTGGCACATAGCAAGGGGTTAATTCATACAAGACTACTGTTAAAAAATAGTTTCCTGCTCCTTATAAGTAAATCGTTCCACTTGCATCATGATATTCCTTATATTTGGACTTACAACATCAAGGAAATGTCTAGGAATTGAAAAAGATAAAAGCAAAGATTGCCTAGGTGTGAATATTTGTGATAATTGTTACCTTTTATTGAGGGCTTAGTTAGCATGAGTCTCTTTGTCAAGGGCTTTATAGCAATTATCTCATTAGGTTCCATGGACTATTAAAACCTATTACCATTCTCTTTTTTATACAAGGCAACCAAAGCACGGTTAAGTTAAATGATTTATGCACAATAAGGCATCCACAGCCTGTTTTGATCTTTAACTCCTACGAAACATCTTGGTGAAGCATGGTGTAACTGATCACACGTAGGTGTACCAGCACTTTTTACAAAGGATCTATTTATGTATTTATTTGAAATGCAGTGAGTTGCAGAGAAAGAGGGAGAAGCAGGGAGATCAGCTGACTCACTTCCCCAGGTGCTGACAATGGCCGATTCTGGGCCAATCTGAAACCACCTGCATGGAATTCCATCTGGAAAGTGACACAAGCATGTAGGTGAAGTTCTTTTGCTTTTCCAGGTGCATAGCAGTGAGATGAATCAGAAGTGGAGCAGCCAGGAACCTAGCGCTCATATGGTTGTCACCATCATTGATAGCAGTTTATCTTGCTGGGTCACAAGTCTAGCCTGCCACATCACAGGAGACCAGTCTTATATGTGCTCATGGAGGTGGAGGAGATGCTATGAAGCTGGAAGAGAGAAAATGCAAAAGACGAATCTAAATGAATAGTTTCCTATCCTTGGAAGTTTTCTCTCTCTTGATGAGATAAATTTACAGGTTACTTCTTAAAACATACAATCACTCCAAGTGAAAATAGATGGCAACTTTCAAGTGGCATATTATAGGTATTATGTAAAGGAGTCAGCATGGGAAGATGAATTGTATTTTGATCACATACATGCACAGCTCTTATGGGAAAAGAGGAACAACTACAAAGCTACATACAAACGCATAGTCAAAAAGAAGTTGGACTTTGGAAACAGAAACACAAGGTTGAATTCTGATTTTAGGACTATTCAGTATATTGTTTCAAGCCAACTATTTAACTTTTGTATCTGTAAGATGAGTCTATTCTATAATCCCTGATGAGGGAGAGTGCTAAAAAAAATCAAATGGGGTGAAGTATGTAAACAGCTTATACTTTTTCACATGCAGTACTCAACGGCTTTTTTTATTGTGACTGAATGAGACTGCCTGTGCGATTCTAGTCCAGGATCCACCATCTCCTGACTGTTTCTGAATGAATGGTTGAAGCTACTTTTAGCCTCTATTTCCCCATACATGAATTAAGATAATAATCAGTATTTTGCGGTAGGATCTTTGTAAAGATTATTTACATTTGAATTTATTACTCACTCAGAAGAGTATCTGGCACATGGAAGGGAATCTGTGCTGTTACTATTACTGTTTTTGATAGCAGTAAACCCAAGATGATGAATGCTTAGAGAAGGACATCACTAAACCTATGGTACATGGATAGGGAGAGCCTCCTAGAAAGCAAAATGAAGGAATGAAGGAGAAATGCATGCCACAGCAGGTGAGAAGAGACGTGTGTGTCTGTGTGTGTGCATGTGTACGTGTGTGTGTGTGTGTGTGCGCGTGCGTGTGTGCGTGTAGGAAGTTGGGGAAGGAAGAGCTGGCAGTCAGTAGAAAACAGCAAAAGAAGTGAAATGGGGAGACAAAGAAACAACATCTTGGACTTTCTTTTTCTCTGCAGAGTTTTTGCTTCTCCACTGAGCTTGTTGTCTTCATTGCATGAATCCTGCAACTGTGTTGAAGACAAATTCCACACCAGCAACAGAGTAGGGGGTGGACAGGTAGATAAGAGAATGCAACATTCTGCATTTGTTAAAAAAAAAGGCTACATCATTTAGCTGATTATTTAACATTGTGGAATGCAGAAAGGTCAGAGAATGGTTCACTTTTCAGTGTAAGTGTGGCCCAAAGGAGAAATCTCTATATTTGTTGAAAGTCTTTTACACAACTGAATGAGTATGCATTAGGGCTTGGTTAAAGATTTACAGCATAAGCTTGTTAATAGAATTAATTTGACCTGATAGGTCAGTAGAATATGTGAGCGGTTTTTGAAACCCAAAACTGATAGGAGAGGAACAAATTCTTAAACCAGATATTAAAGAAGGGTAAGCTCCCTCTTGTAGCAGTTAGCTTGTGATTTTCCTTCCTCTCTAGAAGTACTTGCAGTGGTTCTCTCGATAGATGGCAATGCAATAACTTACCAGAAATTTAGACTGTTGATCTTTCCCTTCCTAATCCCTCCTTTCCATCCCTCCTTCCCTCCCTCCCTCCCTCTCTTTCTTCTTCTCTCACCCCTCCCTCTTTTTCTCCCTCCTTTCCTTCCTCCCTCCTTTCCTTCCTCCCTTCTTTCCTCCCTCCCTTCCTTCCTCTCTTCCTCCCTCCGTCCCTCCCTCCATCCCTCCCTCTCTCCCTTCCTTCCTCCCTTCCTTCCTTCCTTCCTTCCTTCCTTCCTTCCTTCCTTCCTTCTTCCCTCCCTCCCTCCCTTCCTTCCTTCCTTCCTTCCTCCCTTACTCCCTTACTCCCTTCCTTACTCCCTCCCTCCCTCCCTCCCTCCCTTCCTTTCTTCCTCCCTCCCTCCTTTCCTTCCTTCCTTCCTTCCTTCCTTCCTTCCTTCCTTCCTTCCTTCCTTCCTTCCTTCCTTCCTTCCTTCCTTCCTTCCTTCCTTCTTTACAAATCTCACACTTACTCTGAGTCATATGTAATCCCTTTCCTTACCCCTGATGCCAGAAAGAAGTGCACAAATGACTGCACACTCACCAAGTGAGTTATCTTTTTTGAGATGGACTGGGTACTACAGTCTGAATGAGGGCTCTGGAGAGAACAGCGACTGGCAGCCTTAGAAGAAAATATGTGTTGGCTCGGGACCGAGGCTGCTGGTGGGAGTTGAGAAGCAAGGCGGCCAAAATAATCTAATATTTACTATGCTTTTCCAGGACAGTGACATTCTGCATTTCACAGTTGAAACATGGCTTTGTAGGACAAAAAGTCTAGTTTTCTGATGTGACGCAAAACAACAAATAAAAGTTTGTTATAACAAATAAAAGTTGGTTCCTCCATCTCTAATCCTTCTGTGATACCAAACAAGACAAAACTTCTGGTTTAGGAATAGGGAAACAATTGGCAAGATGTTTTAAGACATGTGCTTATTTCGTCAGCACATGTACTCAAGTTAGAATGATACAGAGAAGATGAGCACAGCCTCTGCACGAGCGTGAAAAGCTCCTTTTGTGCTACTTTCAGCAATGTTTAAAAGTCATTCTTAAAAAAAAAAACTCACTCTTAAATGTTATTTTAAAGTGTCAACTTAAAATAATGAAGAGCATTTTTCAGTCTGGAAAAAGTGGTTTGGGAATAAACCCTGGCTCCTCCTTTAGCGTATGTTTGCATATGATCAGTCTGACCAAGGACAGAATCTACGAGGAGACATTTGAGATTCTGAGAAAGATATCTGAGACCTTAATAAAGAAAAGAAGAATTAAGACAAAAGGAAAAAAAAAGTCTACATTTTCTTTTTATGTGTGGTGATTATGTGGCAAGGTGTTTTTTGTTTGTTTGTTTGTTTTTTTTACTTTCAGGCACCTTATGTGTCCAGCACAGTGCCTGAAGCATATGAACTATTTAAAAAATGATTTATTAATAATTATAATTTGGCCAAAATAGAAACAGCTGCTGTATCTTATATTATTAATTACATTCCTCTATGGGTTGTCTGTGTAAAAAGTGTTGCTTGCAAAGGCAGCACACCACATTAGCATAGATGCTTCATTTCTGATCCATCTCGCTGCTGATGGCCTGGGGAAAGCAGAAGAAGATGGCTCATCTGTTGAGGCACCTCCCACCCAGATGAAATCCCTAGTTTCCGACCTATGCCTGGCCCAGTGTTGGCCTTTGCAGCTACCTTGGGAGTGAAACAACGGATGAGAGATGCCTGTTTTCTCTGTCTCTTTTTCTTTCTGTAAATCTGACTTTCAAATATTTAAAATATTCTCCTATAAGACCATAAGTCTTCAGACAGTTCCTAGAGTTTTGTATTATTAAAGAGCAGTACTTGGACACTGGCACGCCAGGAGATGCCATGCTGGAAGACCAGGTTCAAGGTCTGGCCTGAAGGTCATGGCACGGGGGCTGTGGATTGCTTGGGGAAGGGTATAACGCAGAAGTGCGGGAGGGGGGACTGCTGGCAGAGTACCTTACAACTGAGGAATGTCTTGTGGGAGACTCCCACCGACCAGGCTACTGCATTGGCAAGGAAGTGGGGGGGGGCTGAAATGGAGTGGTTTGGAGGAGGGGAATTGGAGAAACTTTCTGGATCAGACGAGCTGCCAGCAGCTTCCTCCCCCTTCCACAAGCTCCTCTACACACCTCAACCCTGGATAAAGGAGAAACGGAGGGGGAAAAAAAAAGGAAAACTGGAAGTACCTCGCCACAGTCTTCCCCTGTGCTTCAACCCTCCCCACTCTAATCAGCCATCCTCAGAGCACGCATCCTTGTCAAATATGTAAATAAGATAAAAAATGAAATAAAATTTTAAAAATAAAGTAAATCAAATACTTACCTTTTAACTTGATTTTTTAAAGATTTTTTTTTTTAATTGGAGAATCAGATATACAGAGAGGAGCAAAGGCAGAGAGGGAGCTCTTCCGTCTGATGATTCACTCCCCAAGTGACGGCCATGCTAGTGCTGCACAGTTCTGAAGCCAGGAGCCAGGAACCTCCTCCAGGTCTCCCACATGCATTCTGTATCCCAAGGCTTTGAGCTGTCCTTGACGGTTTTCCCAGACCACAAACAGGGAACTGGATGGAAATAAAGGATACAAATTAGGAAAGAAAACAGAGGACAACAGAAGAGTGAAGAGAGGTGTGTCAACATAAGTGTTTTTTTGAAATGTCCTTTTACTTTCTAGGGAAGACAGCTGTGTTGAGCTAATGCCCCCAAAATGATCAATGCAAACATTTGTCCCTGGCCTGGGAAAGAAAAATATTTCCTGACCCTTTTTTTAAATTATTTATTGCTTTATTTTGATAATCTATACATAGTTGATTAGGGCACAAAGGGTCAAGGGCTACAGGAAAGTAAGACCATTGTTTCCACATTATTATTATTATTTTTTCTAGATATGGTGTAATGGGAGAAATGAAGGGAGAAGCCCCATCCAGCCTCCCACCCATGCCCGGTCCCAATGTGGGGCATGCTCTGAGAGTCCCGCTGAAGTGGTTTTGATCGTCCAACAATTCTGAATTGCTGCCAATCTTGCCATTCCAAGCACAATGAAATCTCTCCAGTACCCACTGGCTGGCACAGTCTACCTTAGAGTCTCCGTTAGCCCAGATTTTCACTGCCAACACATGGCTGGGGTAGATAGCGATTTGTTCTGTCCTCCGTCCTGTTGTGGTACCAGGTATCCTGTGCAGGTTTCAATAAACTGCCATATCCTCCATGTGCACTTGGGTTTGCTGTCTACTGTTCCATCTGAGCCTCTGAGTAGGCTCAGCTTTGACACTTGTACTCCAGGGTCAGACCATGGAACCTGTACTTCTCTTCATGGTTGGGGTTCTGAGATCAGCAGTTCAGTTGGAGGGAACCATAAATAAACTTCGTTTGAGGTGATTCCAGACCTGATTCTAGTGTGTGCATGCCAGTAGAGGGCCTGCACAGTCTGTCACTCCAGTCAACTTATGCATATGCTGGTGGCTGCAATTGCTAGGTCAGTTCTATTTCTAGCCTATTTTCCACATGAACAAATGGGTGCTGCAGTCCAGCCTGATTCTGTCCACCACACACTCAACCCTCACGCAAACGAGTGGGAGATGCAGCCTAGTCGGGGCGACTCCCACTGACCCCCACCAAGACCGCCCCCTACCCTGGTTCCCATGCTTGCCAGTATGTACAGCACATTGGTCCAGTCTGTTACACATTCTATTCAGCTCTCCTACATGCCAAAGAGCATTGAAGCCTAGTTTAATCCAACCAGCCCCACTATTCAGCCCACACACATACTGGTGGATGCTATCTATCTAGCTACCCCGTCTTAGCTTATAGGCTGTACTGAGAGAATGGTAATCCAAGAGGGAGGTGTCCACTATTTCCCTACTGGGTCCACCCCACTCCCAGATCATGCACTTTCCAAATAGTTCTGCAGTTTAGCTTGACTAGGTATGTTCCCAGCTATAGATCTTCAATGTTCCTGATCCTTTTCTTTAAGTAAAAGTGAAACTTGGAGCTCTGAGAAAGGAAAATAGTACTTAAGGGAGGCAAGTTTAACCCATCCTTCATAAGTTTCATTTGGTGTCACTGTCAGGTGACGACCTGGCTTATGGCAAGAAAACCTCTGAATGCTATGGTTTAGGTTTTTCTTGTGGCTTAATTTTCATATGTGAGGGCTTCTAATCCCCCCAAACCAGGTCTTTCCTAATCAAAATCAGAAAGAAAAGGCACATATATTTGTAGAAGGCAATCATTCTACTTTTTAAAAATGACTTTTTCTTGGTACTCTCTCAGGAGGAAAGAAAAAAAAAGTGGAAATGGAAGTTTAAGATAATCCTTGCCTTTTCTCAATAGCTACACCAACACTTCATAGGCCAAGTGTTCTAAAGCATGGTGCTGGATAGTAATGAAAAAACTTTCTGATTTTGGAAATGGGTCTCACATAGTGAAGAAACCCTATTCCACTAACTGCACATGGATTGGCTGTATGTATATCATGCCGATGTTTAACTCTTCTTTCATTTGTTCTGCTAGCATCATTCGACATTGTCACTCATTCTCTCCTTCAAGTAGTCTACAGGTAGCATACAAATTCGCACTTCCTGTTTCTTCCTCTTTCCTTGGCCTCCATCTGCCTGCTTCATCAGCTTTGTCTTCCTCTTCCACGTGTAGAAGGCACTGTCCGTAAACTCAGCCCCTCCCCTACTTAGGAGCACGCATTCACTGGTTGGTCACCTTGGCTTCATGGTCCATAAATGGTGAGGATATACTCATGACTTCAGGGTTCTTTTCCTCTTTCTGTGATATCACTGGTTACCTCCGGATTCATTCTTAACCGTGTTTATGAAAAGCATTTCTGTAATAGAAAAATATATTATGTATAGAAGTATGCAATAGACAGTGGAGTACCTCCAAGAGCAAAATCTGGTGCCTGCTCATTCTCTCCATGTACTCTTCCTCCTTGTTCCTTGTGATTTCCACTTTTCATGATTGGCATCACTGCTTTCCTCATTATTCAGGCCAAATGTCATCCTTGATTCCTCTTATTCCCTAAGTCTCTAGACCAAATTCAACTCCGTGTCTTAACTGCATTACCTTCAAAATAGTCTTAATCTCACCGTATTTACCACAAAAGCACTATTCCAAACCATCATTTTCTTCCCAAAAGACTACTGTGATTACTTTCTAACTAGACTCACTGGGACAAATTCACTCTCCACAGTCAATTAACAACACTGCCTGACTTAGAAAAGCAGAAGTCAAACCATGCAGCTCCTCTCTTCAGAAACCTCCTAAGATTACTCATCTTAATAAAAAAAATAAGATATCAACTTTCCCCCATACTCTAAGAAGTCTCATATAATCCAATCCATGCTGACCCGTCTGACCCATTTATTATCATTTCCCCCTTAGTCACTTGCTCAGAAATGTGAGTGTTTGGGCTACTCTTGAGTAGGTCCGAGTCTGTTCTTAGGGTTTTAGGCCAGCTACACCATTGGCACGTATTGCAGAACCTCAGGTCCTCATCTGGCTTTTTGCCACCAGTTCACTGAATCAGTAAGTGCTTTTCCCTCCCTCTCTGAATCTCAGTTTTCTTTTGTAAGTCGATCTTCAAGGAAATTGGCTATGGTTTCATTATATAAGGCAATGGCTACACAGGCAAATGTGGACAGGTTCCAGATTAGTAGAATGCAAAACTGCCAACACACAGAACAGCATTTTCTTCATATAGTGGAAGTGATTCATTCTGTCAAATCACCAGATCAAACTAAAAGACACGTTAGAAACTTAGCTCTATAATTTACCACAGCCTTTTGATTTCAATATCTTGGTTATTTCGTAGTGACTACATAATTTATTCTGAAATTGTCCTCTATTCCCATGTTCACTGTGAAATTGTTCTATGCTTTGCTAAGGTTGAATTATCTATTCAAACAAAGCAATAATTCTGGGGCTTTTCTAGACAAGCCATAGGAGTCAACAATTTTTCTCATGAGCGTTTTCTCACATCTTTAGCCCAATTTAAAATGGGGTGTAATAAG